GGTAAAACAAATGAAGCAGAAATACTGTTTATGTACTACAAAGTTAGCACCATAATCTGTTAGACACAGACACAAGTTTTGTAGTTTTGCATATTTTGTAAATATTATATATATTATATATTTTATATATTTGTAAAATAAATTATTGAGCTGACTTCATTTTTTATCTTTTCTTGTTGTTGTTTGTTTGTTTTTTATTGTTTGAAATAATTTGTCAAAAGGCAATCAATAATGAAGATAGATTTTTTGAGCTATACTGTGAAGAAGTAAAGGACCCTCCATCAGCACCATGTTCTACCTGTCAACAGATTACAGGAGGTGAAAGTCTTATTTACTTTTTCATTGCCAAAGCAGAATCATACAATGTAAGTTTTTTCTGTAAGTAAAAATATTGCTAATAATATCCCTATTATTATTATCCCCACAGTTCCTTCTTGTCATGTGACAACAATATTGTATAATGTCAGCACTAAGTTAGTGTCTCAGCATTTGGACACTCCTGCAGGTGAATGGAAGAGCTACATTGTGACAAGTTGTGGTAAGTAAAAGATAGGTATTGTTATAAAAATAATAAATAGTTTTCAGATAAGTGCACATCACAAAGTGGCCCCTACCTTTTAGGTGGAGACCTCAGTTCATGAGGACATAAAAATAAAAAAAAACATTATCGTAACCCTCTAATACCTGACCTGTTACCGGCGACAGAAAGGTGTTTTGTAATGGGTTTTTTTAAACATCTCCTGAACCATTTGCTCAATTGAAAGAATCAAATGGTTTCTAAAAGCAGTTGCCTTTCAGAAACCATCCATGGTTATCCTAATTGGGCTTTCATCAAGTCAGCAAAGATGCACAGAAAAGAAGATCAGACACCTGCTAGGGAGGATCAGAAAGACAAACGCAACAACATTGTCATCCCCTATGTAGCCAGTGTATCAGAGAAATTCAGGAGAGTCTTCTCCAAGCACGATATCCCAGATTACTTCAGACCCAGCAACACACTCAGACTAAAACTGGTTCATCCCAAAGACAAAACTCCTAAACGCAAATTTAACAATGTTGTGTATGCTGTACCGTGTAGCGAGGAATGCCCAGACCTCTACATTGGAGAGACCAAACAGCCACTTCATAAACACATGACACAACATAAAAGAGCCACCTTCACCGGACAAGACTCAGCAGTCCACTTGCATCTAAAGGACAATGGTCACTCTTTCAAGGATGCCAATGTTCAGATTTTTGACAGAGAAGACAGATGGTTTGAAAGAAGCCATCTATGTCCACTGTGAACGACCATCTTTGAACAGAGGCGGTGGTTTACGACACCAACTGTCTGCCATCTATAATCTAGTGTTGAGATCCCTTCCCAGACGCCTAAACGCCCACTCACATCCTGGGCCATCTGACCTCAGGAAATCACATGATAGTGTGGGGCTAGGTTTCACAATGAGCTCACCCAAAACCTTTGCTGATGGGACCTACACCCGTCTTCACACCTTGGCTCACGTGGTTAGGTAGAGAATCATTAGGGGTCCCTCTCGGTGGGTTACACCCACAGGGCTTAAATCTAGGACTCTCCACCATTTGACCCTAGAACTCAGGCACGTGCAGAGGGGGGGGGCTAGAGGGGCTTGAGCACCCGCCCCTTTCCTGATGGGTGCCCAAAGTGCCCTTTTGTTGAGGCAACTTTTTAAAAAAAATATTATTTTTTTTTTTTATGTGTGTGTGCGTGCGGAGTCCTGTCTGTGCCCCTCAACAATAATATTTAACTATTAATCACAGTTTTGCTAAATAAAAGGATCTGGCTTGCATCAGTCACATGATC